ACCTTCTGTAGCGCTGGGGCCTTTGGGGGTCTGTCAGGTGTGTGTGCTGGGGTCACTGGGAGGGATCCCCCGTGCCCGGTGTGTCAGGTCAGAGATCATGTTCTGGCATCCGTCCTCTAATCGCTCTCCCTGGCTGAGCAGCAGCGGGTCCCGAATTGCCCACTAGCAGGGAGTAGTTAATCTTTGTTGTAGACGTTAGACTGTAGCGTTCACAGACGCTGATAAGTGTCGTTGTGCAGGCGGCAGAATTCCTGTTTGCCCCGTGTGAAGCTTGTTGAGACGTCTGTCTGCTGAGAACTGAGCATTGTTTTACTTCTTTAGGGTAATCAAGGATTTCATGATCCAAGGAGGTGACTTTGTAAACGTGAGTACTGCTTTATTCCTTTGGTGCTTTTCCTACGTGGTATATTAAGCAGCTGCTTCCCAGGGTCCGTGCTGATCTGTGGGGTCTCTTGGCTCTCTGGAGGTACTCTAGTCACTGGAGGTTTCCTCCTAGCATTGCTGCCATCTTACTACCACAGACTATAATGTACTTGGAACCAAATCTTGGGTGAGCATAGCTTCTCCTTCCCAAGATATTTTCTCTCTAAAAGAAGCATGGTGGTACAGCTAGAGGCTTCTCAAACTTGCAAAGGTATATTTATTTTTTTTTTACACCATGTTGTCATTCCTCCTCCTGTCCCCCCAAACAGATTTCTGTTAGCTGTTTGGAGAGAGACCCTAGGTACAGAAGCAAGTGTCTAGTGCAAAGGATAGTTAAATAAAAACTGTTTGTTAGTGAATTGTCTGAAAATAGAAAAGAATTTTGTGCCTGCAGTGGTGGTCGTGCTGGATAAGCAGAGGATACGGGGAAGCCTGGAGGACCACAGGGTCTCTTCCCTGTCCTAGGACCCAGTAAAATTATTTCCTTTCTGGAAGTGTTTCAAAACGAGAGGGATGATAAAGCTGGGGTCAGGCTGGCTCTGAGGAAGTATTTCTTTGCAGAAGGGGCTGTTGGGCGTTGGAATGGGCTGCCCAGGGCAGGGAAGGGGGGGTCCCCATCCCTGGAGGGGTTGAAGAATCGGGCTGACCCAGCGCTGAGGGATCTGGTGGAGTTGGGAGCAGTCAGGGTGAGGTTCATGGTTGGACTGGAGGAGCTTCAAGGGCTTTTCCAACCCAGATGATTCTGTGAAATCAACCCAGGGAAGTGGCTGTTGTAATAGTGAGTGTAACTGCCTGTGCCAGAGATACCGGGCTGCATTGCTTCTGCAGCGTTCCCCGAAGCGTTCCTCACTGCAGCATCTGTCAGGCTGTTCTGTCGAGGGGTCCCTGCTCAGTCCTTTTGGCATCATACACAGGAGTGTCTCTGCAACCCCAGACCAAAGGGCAGGGTGGCCTTTCAGCCACGCCACGACTTACGTGTCTTGCCTGAACCATGCGTCAGGCTTCTGCAAAGTTACAAAACTGTGAGCAGTCAAAGCTTGCAATGTGCAGCTGTTAGGGGCCACGCTGCTTTAACTTAGAAGTGTCTTGAGGTCTGAGTGCTGGGGCTTGTAGTTAAGTACAGGATGTCTCGACTTGGTAGAAAGTACAGCAAAAGGTAGAAGCTCCATCTTTCAGAAACTGTCCTTGATGAACAGCGAGATCACTTCCCTGTTTCCTGTAAAATCACAGAAAATAAGGTGAAATAAGGAAGCAGCAACCAACTTTTTCCAGGTAACCACTTCCCTTTTCTCACCAGCCCCTACTTTGATGTCCCCTCCCCTTTCCCTGCCGAGACCAGGTGGGTCCATCCCAAGCCATCTGTAGCCTCTGTCTCTCTCTGGGAGGCTTGAACCTGATCCTTAGCACCTCCGTGGGTTTCTGCCAACACGTGGATGGCAAAGGATGTGCTGTGGAGTTAGAATCCACTCGCTGATCCTCTTCAGAAATGAAACACTGAACTTGTTCACTGCTGGTGTGTGCAGATGGCAGGACAGCACCCAATTTGGGCTGGGTTTAACCCTGTCCTTTGGCTTGGGCATTTTAAATTTAATTTTTAAATGGAGCTGTTCCGTAGCAGTTGCTGTGGCTGAGTGGGCACCTCTCTCGCGCAGGGCGACGGCACTGGAGTAGCCAGTATATACAGGGGTCCTTTTGCGGATGAAAACTTCAAACTGAAACACTCTGCTCCTGGGCTGCTCTCTATGGTGAGTATAAAATAGGGACATTCTAAGACCAAAAAACCTTTTGGTACTTTCTCTGTGCCCTTTTCCGAAGCGTATAAATGATTTGCCAGACAACAGGAATCTCCAGCACTGGATACAAGGTCTAAAAGACCTGCTTTGTAGCTCCTGGCCAGAAGGCTCCTCATGAGTTAATGTGTTCAGTGACACAGTCCTGATCCTGCAGCATCCTTTCTTTTTTGTCTGTTGAAGTGTTGGGGCAAGGTTTTTTTTATGAGCTTTGAGAGTTGCTTGATTCTTAACAGTTTTCATACTGTGGCAAGCACTGGTGTTTTATTTTTCCCTGATAGTGTTATCAAACACTGACCTCAGCAAGTATGAAACAAAGAGATTTGGGAGTTTCAAAGCCATAGCAATGTTACCATGGCATCTTTTGAACATAGGCTTCCTGTTCAACATTGTAGGAAAAACTGCAACCATTGCATGTTGTCTAGTAGGGACAATACAGTGGCTTCTGCATTGGAAAGCAAGTGGAGCCAGTGCTTCAGTGTTCCTCTCCAGAGCTGCTTCTTGCCCAGCTCCTGCAGCTGCCCTGCCCTTAAAACCACTTGATGAGAGCATTTACTGTTTGGATTAGTTATTCACTCAGTTCAAAAAACAGCCTCAGACAAGGTGTCATGATGCAACTAAGCAACCCATGTACTGTGGTGTGGGAGAAGGGATCCACCCTGATACTGCCAGCTTTGCATTAAAGTGCCATGGCTCTGGTATCGTCCTGCGGGCCAAACCGTGGTCTGTCCCAGCTGGATTCCTCCTGAGCTGTCCCTGGCTTGGCAATAAGTAAAAGTCCACTGTGACCATGCCCTGTGCTGTCCTGCAGCTGCAAAGCTTGCCTAGTTCTCTTGTCAGTTCAGAAATATGCTTTAGTGTCACCTGATGGTCAATAGAGCTTTGAGGAATTGAAGTGGACTGAAGTGTGGCAAGGGGCTTTCTTAGCAGAGCGCAAATGCTCTGGGTGTTGCACTTGGGTGTGAATTAAAATTTCACAACTCCATCACACGGTTCCTGTGAGCCCCATGCCAATATGATTGTTACCTTTCTCATCCTGATCATCAGAACAGGTGCAGGGTTTTTTTTGTTCTATTCTGAGAATACCTTCCAAATAGCTGAAATTGGCTGCTTTTTACTTTTGTCCTGCTGGTTCCTGGCTTTTAGTTTTCCCCAGGATAGTAATTCACCCAGTAAGTACTGATCACCAAAAAGTTCAGCCTTTTTTCAGGAGTGTGCTCTAGAGCCCAAATGTCAGCAGTCTTGTGCTGAACATGTAGAAACATAATAAAAAGTTGGTGATGTGGCTTGTGTGTGGGCTGGCGTGACCAGACTTACTGACGTGCCATGTCCCAGCACAGGCCGCTCTCCTGCAGAGGTGTATCGTTCTTCCTTTGGTTTGTGTAGCAATAAGCTAAACATAAGCTAGGCTAGGTCTAGAGCAGCAGCTCTTTCCTACGTGAGATACATCTGACTTCAGTTTGGGGAAGTCTTAAATTGTACCCTTTTGTGTTTTGTCATTCTCAACCCCCAGGCAAACAGTGGTCCAAGTACCAATGGCTGTCAGTTTTTCATTACATGCTCCAAATGTGACTGGTTGGATGGAAAACACGTCGTGTTTGGTGAGTACCTGCAGCAGAGGCCTGGTGTACCAGCTCACGGACATTCCCTGGGGTGGCAGCTGCTCAAATAAACAGCTGTGGGCTGCTTGTTCTTCCTCCCTTGCTTGCACTAGCGGAGGTATCTGTACAGCCAAATACTGAGATGGATCACTGGTGAAACAAAACTTATTTTCCCACGTTAGCTTTAATCCAGGTTGGTTCCTTGATCAGTGTGTTGTGTTACTATGTAAGTCCTTGTGCCAGTGCAGAAGGCACAGGTGGGTGGAGGGATCCCTTTCTTCTCCACTGTCAGAGAGGACTGAGCTTTCAGCAGATTTTTAGATGGTAATTCTTTGAAACCACATCTGCTAACTTTTCATGTACAGCCACTTGGGCTGTAGGACTTCAAGGCCAGCCTTTAGGCTGATGTCCTACTTCCTCCAGTTCTTAAGTAACACTGGTATCATTCATTGCCATTTTACAACACGATGCAAAGGTGGTGTTGATAGAGAGGTGGATGGTGCTGTATTTTAGCACAGCTGGAATCTCAAAACTTAGATTCCTGCATATGCGATGGGAAAAAAATCTGAATGTGGAAAATATTTTAAGAGGGCTTATTTCCTTTATTACTTTAGAGATTGGTAACAAACCCTGAAGTGCCCACTAGCTACACACTGCACAAGACTTTTTAGGAGGAACAAAACCACCTGTACCTGTGATGGGGAAGGAGCAAAGGTTAAAACTGGCCATACTGAAGTGGATAAATTTTCTCATTCTAGGTAAAATTGTCGATGGGCTGTTGGTCATGAGAAAAATTGAAGTAAGTTGAATTCACCTATTTCTCTGTGAATGTCCACACTGGAAAGTCCTGTAGAGGATTAACCAGGGTTGTTCTGTTCTCTCCTGCTGTCTGTTCACAGGATACCAGGGAATACCAGTGCTGATAACTGGTGTTATTGGTGTTTATCATTATAAAATGGCAGAAAATCTGTTGAGGCAAAGGCTGTCATATAGATTGACTTCAGAAATGCTATGCTCTTGTGGTTGCTGGTTAGTCTTTGAGTGGGGATTGTGTTCTTGTGGCTCTATTTGCAGTGCTTTGCATTTGTTCAGGAAGCTGAAGTGAAAAGCTGTTCCATCAGCAACTCAGACAAGAGTGTAAAGCAGATCACTTCTGTGCCATTGCCTGGGATTATTCAGTGGATGCTAAATCATCAGTTCTGCTGATCCATGATCAGCATGTTTAATAAGAAAAATTAAACTAATCTTCTGATGGGTTTTCCAGAAGCTGAATATGCTCAGGGGTGGTGGTTGCTACCAGTGTTGTGACTGGGTGTCACGGCATGATAATGAGTAGATTTAAGAAATAACAGTGAGTTCAGGACAGCCAACATTAACTTCATGGCACATGCATGGGATAATGTGCACAAGGGCCTCTGATCTACATCTAAAATACAGAGCTGACAACTATACCACAACCACAGTGTGGTATAACCCATGTGTTGCTAGTCCTCCTTGCCAGCAGCACTGCTGGGAGGGCTTTGTGTGTCGCTGAAGTGAGGGGCAAATGAAAGGAAGTAAGAGACTCGTGAAAGAGCAGCCGAGTCCAGCAGAACCAGGGGTTCAGAATGAGGGCAGCTTTGTGAAAGATGCTTATTTGGATTCCCCTTTTGTACAAATAGAAGTTTGCTTTGTGTGTTGCAGCTGTAATTAGTAACTTTAATGATTTAAGCCAAAGCAGCCTCAAGTGACGTGGTGCCTGCTGTGTCTCATGAGGAGCTCTCCAGTTTTTGCTCTGTTCCTTAACCTCCCACTCAGAGAATCGGGCTCAGGTCTGTATCCCAGACCTCTGTGCAGAGAGGGAGATCTGGCTTATGGCCGGATCCGTTGCCAAAATGCATAACAGTGCTTCTGTGTTACTCAGAGCTGTGTTTATATTTCCCTTTTCCTGATGTTGTACACACATCTCTTAGCCAGTCTTCAAGTACCTGTCACTCTCAGGATTTGCTGTGCTTTTTTAAGGTTTAACATTACATATTTGTTTGTCCCCAGAACGTGCCTACAGGTCCAAATAACAAACCCAAGCTGCCAGTTGTGATCTCTCAGTGTGGAGAAATGTAAAGCAGTGAAACAGAAATGCGGTAAGTTTGTCTTCACAGGCAGCCAGTGCAATTGAACTTGGAGCTGCTGTGCTCCTTGCTTTTTTCTTGCCTTATTTTCACATTCACTTGCATCTGCAGAGAGCTGACTCAGCTCAGTGAAACACCAGAAAATGCTTCTCTAACAGGAATAGGTTTTTTGCCAGCAAAACTCTCTGAACTTGTTTCCCTCCAAGCTACACAAATACCAAAGGCAGTGCTGGAGGGATAAGATATTGCAGCTGCAATCAAGGGGAAGCCGGAGTTGTGGGAGCTCTGTCTTGGACGGGGTTAGGCTCCCTTGAAGCCTCAGCTTTAGAAACCAGTGGGTGCAGGGGAACTGCAGCAGGGCTCCAGCTGTTAGTACCCAGGCAGTCTGTGGGGTAGGGGGCTTTACCTTGACACATAGGTTGGTGAACTCTCTGATTGCTACAGAAACAAGAGCATCTGTGTGTGGAGCAGGCAGGGACCAAGAAAAGGAGAAAGAAAGGATTTGAGCCTCTGCTCAGCACAGCCATAGGACTGCCACCACTGAAGGGCCAAGGAATTACCATATGTAGCCTTACCTTAACTCGAAAAAAATAACCACTGTTGTCATCTGAAGGGAGATGTTTCCAGCATTTACTATTATTTAGGCTTCGTTTTGGTTAAACCAGTATGCCCAAGCTCAGGCTAACATACAGTATTCTGTTTCCATTTGTCTGCCCACTTCACCATAAAAAACAAGCATTTAAACAAATCTGTCTAGATTTTATTGTGTCAGGCTGCAGCTTGTCAAAAATCTGCTGTATTAGCCTTTTGGTTGCTGATTTTTCAAATTTTGGCAGGCAGGCACTGACAAAAGCAAATCCCCACAATTTTTGACCTTCCATTAAATGATTTCCAAAGACATCTGGAATTGCCTGTGAAGACATGTCCCTGCTCCCATAATAAAATCTGTCAGATCTGCAGTGCTTCAGGTTTTTGGGAGCTCCTCCTATTTGGTGAAGTGACAACAGGGAATGTAATTGTTTCATTTCCCTGGTACTTCTGGTGGCATTTACAGGCTTTTGAAAAGAGGGACAACCTTGTTAACTGGCTTTCTTGCAGAGGACCCGTGTTGATGAGTGGGGTCCCCTTTAGGGTTGTCCTCAGGCCCAGACTTGTTGGTGATTTCTATTTGGAGTACTTGATCTCTGGCCAACATCCAACTTGAGACTGGAAGCTTTTCATTTCTAGGTATGAGGCTGGTGCCACTTCGCTTACTTTCCAGCCAGGCCTTAGAAAGTGCCTTTCTGCACCCTGCTGCCTTTTAGGGTGTCTTTCCCACCTTCAGACAGCTAAATCAGTTACTTGTCAAGATCCTTTGAAATTATCCAGGAGAAACAGGAACTGTTGGTTTAAAGTTCAGAGGTAAATGCAGATGCCTGACATGGAGACCCAAAAGGACTCCCAAGTTCTCTAGCTCAGGGTTGATGGGATCTAGCGCATGCAGCAAGTACCACTCACTTGAAAATTGCTGTCGCAGCACCCATTGTCACTGCACAGTCTTGCTGTGGCAGGATGAGTTGGGAATGGCTGTCCAGTATTTTGGACCTGTTTCTTCTTTGTTTCAGTGTTCCTTCACCGATGGTTAGGTTTGTGCTGGCTCCATGAAGTTCCAACTCCAGCCAGTTCCCCCACTGTCCTAGTCCTCTCTGCAGGCCAGATCCATGCTTCTAACATTCTCCTGAAATTATTTAATAATTGGCATCAATGTTTGGGTTTGATTTTTTTTTTTTTTTTTAATGTTTTGAAGTGTTAATAAAGAATTTTGATAAATATGCGTGCAGTGCACATGGATTAACATGCTTAGGAACAGATTCTTCAGGAAAGAAGGACTATGGCATCTTCAGCAATGTGCCTTATCAGGTTCAGTAGGGAACATTTACTGTGCGTGGTATGGAGGGTCATTGCTGCTGGGCAGTTGCAAAATGGGGAAGAAAGAGTGAAAGGAGCATGGCAGTCCTGTGCTCCACCAGCTCCTTTCCTCAGCAGGTAACTAAGGCTGCCTGGCAGAAAGGTGTTTGGCATCTTGGGAATCTCCAGAACCTTTCTATATGCAGCCTTACTGAAGCACAAGGAATTGGTATGACAGGTTTCCATCACCATGAGTTTGCTGAGCTCTTAGGTGAGTTAAGCTGTAAACAAGTATTTGTGAAACCTCCCCTGACACATTGCAGCACTAGGCCGTACGGCTGTTACAGGAATTTACTTGGGTGCTACAAGGGTGTTAGAGCAGGACTTTGGGCTGGGAAGCAGGGAATTATTATGCTGTATCAGCAGAAATAGGGTCTCCTTTATCCTGCATGGTTACAGAGAGCACAGCTGCAGGATAGTGGCAAAACTGACTTTTTTTTTTTTTTTCTCCCAGAATCAGATTGCAAGCTCACCTACCTGCTTGGGGACAAGAAAGCACCATTTCTGGGGGCTGGGCTACAGCGTGAGTTTTCTCATCTAGCAGATTAAATGTAAAGGAGTTAGGACAGAGTGTTCTGTCATGTGCAGGTGCTTCCTCCCATCCGGATACATCCCATTGCTCCTTGAGCAGCAGGAGTGGGGTGGAGGCGTGTGCTTAGCTTGTGCGTTACCCAGGGCTAGATAGCAAGTGCTGATTTACTGGAGGGCAGATCCTGCAGGCATGCTTTGGTGTGCTCTTTTATCTCAAGACTGCTTAAAGTCCTTGAAGCTCTGGCTGTCGGGATTTCCAGGTCTCCATTCCTGGGTTTGTGCAGCTGCTGAGGACACTCGTGTTTGCTTCTCTCCAGCTGAAGGCATCTCACCTTTTTGTACCTGCAGAACATCAGGTGATGAAAGTAACACAAGGCACACCATCCCTTTCCTCTCCAGCCCCAGAAAGACTTTGCAGAGGGCTCTCTCCTGTGAGATGAGGGATGAAGATTCCCAGTATGGAAGAGAAAACGAGCCAGATGACAGCTGTGAGAGAGGTGACCAGAAACTCAGCTGCTGGCCTTGCTCAGGAAACGTGTCCAGATGGCTCTTCCCTGTGGGGTTTAGGCAGGAGCTTGGCTCTGGGCAGCTTGAGGGAGCTCTGCCTGCCAGCTGCAGTGCTGAGGTTTGCATTTCTGGCTGCAGGTACCCAAATCCACTGTACTTTTTCACCAGGGTAGCCAGCTTATTTCTGGGTCCAGGTTCAGTGGCATTTTCTCAGCCTGATGTATTTATGTCACTGTGATCAGCTAGTCACACTCCCTGCATAGCAGGGGTCACAGAGCTTCCCCAAGTTAATTAACAGCGGTAAATCCATTACAACCTCTTTGAAAGTTGTTCCAGTGGCTAATTATATCCTGTTAGGTTTCTCTTTGATCCCAAATGTGCAGAGTTTGAGCTTTCTACTTTATGTATCTTGCTGTTCCTCACCTGCTGGCTGAAAGTTTTCTCAAAGACCACATTTTTGGGTTTAATTCCCCCATGATGAAGTAACCCTTCAGTTACCTTGTGTGTAACAAGTCCTAGAATCTCCTGCTGTAGAGCAGATGATGGATCTTCTCTGAGCTCCCGTGTCTTCCTCCAACTGTGAATGCTGCAGCTGGAGACAGTGTTTGATTGCCTCTATTCATCTGAGAATCAGATTAGCCTCTGGGGTCACAGTGTTACCCACCCCAGAGACATTGTTAGCTGTTGGGTGGCGCACATTTTCTTCTGTAGGTACACGGCCCTGACTGACATCCTCACAGGCTTCATCACTGAGATTTAAAGTTGTCTCCCCAGTTTTCTCCCTCTGAGGTCTCTGGCATGGTGGATTCCTTATTTGCCATTATATTTTAAGACTTATTTTTCAGTGGACTTACTGAGCATCATCCAGTTTTAATACCATTCTGGTTTTAAGGTTACAATCCTCATGCATATCCTTTGCAGGATTGTATTATTATTTTAAAGCTCTTTCCTTCATTAGGTGAGTTGGAGATCTCATAGAAAAGATACCAGGAAGCTTGACAAGACCTGTGTCTGTAAACCCACATTGGTTCTTGTGGTGTGTTGACCTTGGCCCCATCTGAGCCCCTCACCTGACTATGGCGTAATGTGGGAAACCAGGTCCCTGGCTCCAACCTTTCACACTAGGATGGGGGAATTGGCAGTAATTTGTGGGTGATGCGGTAAGAGCTGATCCCAAGGGCATACACGTTGGTCACAAAGATGGTGGAGTGATCGGTCAGCTCCCAGAGACCTTCTTGGTGGTTGCTGGTGACCTTTTCCTCCTCTTATGTGGAAGGAATGACCTAGCCAAAGACAGGGCTATGAATCTGTGGCCAACATCCACATTTTTCAAGTGCCCAAGGAAAACTAACTAGGTGGACAAGAATGCTGCATTTCCCCTGGACCTTTGCTCTGGGGAATCCAGCAGAGATCTTGGATCTCTCTGAGCTGCTGTAAGGTGAAAACACAGGGAATGGAGGCAGAGAGGTGAAAGGTGGTGGTTAGAGGAGGGCTTTATCAAGATAAAGAGTCCATTAGTGATACTTTCCTGACTGCCTGGGTGGAAAGAAGGGCTCAGGGTAAGGGGAGCTGCCCCACAGCCTCTCCTCTGGGGAGGGGAAGGACAGGATGCTTGGGAAAAGGCTAATTAAAGACAAGACTTTTAAGAGGCCTCTGACCTGGGGCTACAGCCTGGCTCTTAAATGGCTCAATTAGGAGGAATTTATCTTTGAGTCACTACCCAGGCAGGTGCAATCAAAGGAGCTCCTCGGGGAGCAATGCAAACACAGGCAGAGAAAGCAGAGGCACAGCCTCGCTGCCTGTCTCCAGCATGGAGGGGGACTCGAGGAGCACCTCAACCAGATCCCGCAAAGCCCAGACTCTCCCCACCTCACCAGGAGGCCTGGCACAGGGCTCAGGACCTCTGTGTGCTACCAGCTCCCTTGGAGGGGGGTTAGACTACAGCCCCTACGCCACTTCAGGCACCGACTGTGGCACTTGGGCCAATGCGTTACCCGCCGGCGCAGCCGTCCCCGCAGCACGCCGTTTCTCAGGGGGTTGATGACAACGCTTTCACGGCACGTAATTACATATTTTAAGCAGCTACGCCATGTCTTCAGATCCGTCATTTCCCATCGTTAATTAATGCTCCCGGGCTCGTTCTTTCTGATTATTATTTTTTCTTAATGGGAGCCGCGGGCCCCTGGGGGAGCGTTGGGGCTGCACCCAGCCCTTGTCACGGGGCCGCCCCCACGAGCGCTCTGCCCCGTGTCTTTCAAGCGAGGGGAAACGCCGCCAGCGCGGCCGTTGGGCCGAGCCCTGGTAATCCCGGCGCAGAACAGATCGGGAGGAACCGGCGAGGGCGGGGGGGTGATGCTCCCGGGGCAGGAGGGATGCAGCGGCCCCGGGAACCACCACATGGTCGCTCACACTTCCCCGGTCGGGCCTGCTGGGGGCGGGAGCAGCGGCGGCGGCCAATCACGGTGCGGAGGCGGGGCCTCCGGGTAGGCCGGTAAGAAAAGCGAGCCTGGCAGCCGCGGCCGGAGCAGCCAATGGGCGCGGGTTCTTGAGAAAAGGCAGGTGCCGCCGCCAATAAGTGTTCGGCGAGGGGCGGCGACCGGGAGAAGCCGAGCCAATGGTCTCGCTCGCTGCTTAACGGGCGGCCCGAGCGGCGAATAGCGTTGCGCGCGGGCGGGGCGCGCGGGGTGGCTAGCCGGTGCGGGCCGCCATTGTGGCCAGTTCGATCGGTATCGGGAGCGGAGAGCGGAGCTCAGCGAGCCCGGAGCAGGGAGCAGCCCCCCCACGGCCGGCCTCAGTCACCATCACACCGCGGGAGGCGGCGCAAACAGCCAGTCACCAC